TACTAATTAATTACATACGTAATTATGTTTGTTAATAAATTATTCTAAATAAATGTGGACTTGAATCAGAAATCAATATAACAATAAGTTATGCAAATGAATGTATCTGCTCGATCTGCTGTTATAAATAAGTATTTGTCAAAAAATGAAATATCATTTTTAATGTATTACTTTTTACTACACTGTCTAATACACATACAAAACTCAGTTTTTTAGTATTTGGGGCAATTATTATTAATCAACGCAAACAGTCAATTAATGTAATTTGAATACTGGAATCATATTAATTGGTTCTCTTTAACAAATATTTAAACAGTTTTTTTTGCTTTTTTAATGAAATAAACAAACTATATCGACAATATTAGTATCTATACTCTTTAAAAAATTGGTAAATTTTTAAAAATAATCTAAAATGTCAGTATTCCATGGGTATATTGATATATGAGTTTAAAATTACTAGAAAATGCATTTTCTACGGAAAATTAAAGAGATAGGTAAAAAATGGTATAATACAATTTGATAGACAATTAAATTGTACATCTGATTCTCATAAAATATACAGACTGTTCCGTTTAAATTAAACAAGTTATTGCCGTTTAAAGCTAGTAATTATTTAAAATAAAATTTTAGACACTCTGTATAAGGTAGTATAATTTTTATTATTGCAACACAATATCTGATCAATAAATAAACTTCAGTAAATATTTAGTATTAAAAACTTTGATACCCTTGGAGAAATGGAGCCTTAAAATTTTGACTGCAATTTTACAAAATTGAAAATATTTCAAAAACGGTAAGGTTTAAGTGTAATAAACCTTTATCAAACTTACCTGTTTTTAATCGTAGAAACTGTAATGTAATAATATACAGGGTGTCCCATTTAAAAAAAAATAAAACTTTGATATTTTTTATTTATTTGGGACACTCTGTATCTTGTAAAAATATTTTTAAATTGTAGCTCTTATAGTCCTTCAACAGACCCAAAACTCACAATTTGTATAAAATTAATCGTTTAGCTACAATACTCCGTGTCGTATGTGGTGAACAACCCTGTATATGTATAACGTGTGTATAAGTGTAAAAAATAGCTACTTTTTGCACAATCGCAGAAAAAATATTTTATGCCCCACAAATATTTTAATATTACAGAAAACAATTCCCAACAAGCAATTTACTGCATTCCGGCAGCTTATCAACTTGTTTTCAAATCGGAAAAATACTAGAAAAGAATAATGCTTCCTAGATTTATTTTTATGAAAAAGAAACGTAAACTTTACCACAACAAACCTTCCTTTAAAACGAAATCAATACAGCATAAAGGGCCATTTAGCTGGAATTTTTCAAGTACAAAGATGAATTCTTCGAAAAGTATTATGGCAATTATTCCGAGACCTCGTCAATATAAATCCCAGACTTGAAGGTATTTATATCGTTAAAAACGGGTTTGTTAAAAAATGTTTAAAGAAACTAAACGGAAGGTATGGTATTTAATTTTGTCTCAAAGTTGTTTTTGTAGATCTATCATGATCATTTAATAAAAATAAGATATTTAAATAAATTAGGAAGTTATTAAGCATTGATTTTTGACAATATACCGATACAAAAAAATATCAAAAAAGTATGGATTTTATAAAAATATAATCTTTACCTATAATGTCAACTACAAAGAGAGAATCTAAATATGTGAGGGAGGCTACATCATAAATGGTTGAATAATCTGAAAATGATGACGATGATGATGAATGTCTACCAGGTGGCGCATCGTCCACTGAGCGTATAATCCACACCAGACTGAAAGAAAATATGACAGCCAATAATCAAGAACTGTACTCAGAACAGTACGGGTTTCGCAAGGGACGCTCCACCGTGGAGGCTGTTAAGAGAATTTTGCAGCTCGCTGAGAGCGCAAAGGCTGGTGGATACAGGCACAGGGAGACCTGCCTGATGGTAGCTTTGGACGTGAAAAATTCGTTTAACACGGCCAGGTGGGACAGAATTATAGAAGAGCTGGAGAGAAGGAGAATACAGAAATATTTACTCAACATTATAAAGAGTTATCTCTCCAAACGGGTGGTTCTTACTGGGAGTGGTACAGTAAAATAGCCAGTATGGGGAGTTCCACAGGGGTCAGTTTTAGAACCTTTTTTGTAGAACATCATGTATGATCCCGGTCCTCGCCATCGACCAACCCAGTGGCGTCTACACGATAGCCTTCGCGGACGACTTAGCCATTGTGTCTATAGGTAAAGGTCTGGATGAAGCCAAGAGACTTGCAACGATAGCCGCTGAAAATATAAAGCAGTGGATAGAAAGCAGAAAGCTGGAGCTGGCTCCTGAAAAGACCTGTGTTTGCAGACTGACCGGCAGAGCAAAACTGGTAGGGGTTTTGGAGGTCAACATTCTGGGAGTAGAAGGTATATATAGTAGGGTATATATAAAAAAAAGGACAAGACAGAATGCTTCATAATTGATATAGCCGTACCATTAGGTCAGAATCTTCAAAAAACTGCAACAGAAAAAATACAGAAGTATCAAGATCTTGCATATGGATTGAAAAGAGTATACCAGGTCAATAAAGCCATGGTTTTACGTTTTGTAATCTCTACCAATGGACTTATCCATAGAGATTTTACAAGGAACACGAAATTATTGAAATTAAACCCAAAGCTTACCAACGAGTGCTTAAAAGCCATATTGGAAACAGTGAGAATTGTCTGAAAGGTGCTTAATATTTAAGAGACCCTGAACTAGAGCAGTTCTGATCAAGGAACCAAACCTACCGAGTTAATCGTGAATTTAAAAAAAAAATACAATACAATATTAATAATATCCTTTTAATGTAATATCAGGTACAAGAAGGCACCTAGCGGAATTAACAGCTGTATGCGCCAAAAATTTGTTTTAACTTGTTATAACTCAAGAAAGGGGTACATACTAACGGTGGGTCAAGATTGAACGAGTCGTTCATTTGAACGAGTATTAAAAATAATGAATCGTCAGATTCGATTTTCTGCTTAGAGTACGGTTCGTTCAATTGAATCGTAGCCAGCACGAATCCATAAGATTTGAACGATGAGCCGTAAAAAAGAATCGGATCACAATGCGATTGTTTGTGAAAAAACCAAACCAAACCAAACCAAACCAAACTGAACGTCATTTTTTTCGATCATGCGGTATTGTATACTATTTATTATGATTTTTAAATCGGAATTAAAATATGGCTCTAAAAATATTAAATTGGTATTAAGGGGTCTTTAATAAATAGTATATTATATGTATTGGATTAATAAATTAATATTATTGGTAAAATAATCAATCCAATTACGCCAGTGTGAAGGTATTGAAAAACAAATGAAAGAACTGTATATTTCTTTTTCTGGTCCCTTAAATAGTTGTCCGGCCAAATTATCGCCGGTAGTGCCAGTTACGATCTTGTTTTTATGAAACGTAAATTGTGCATCTGGTTCGTTCAAATGAACGAATCGTAGGAGTCGTGTGAGTCGTGTGCTTCGATTCACTAAAAAGAGCCGTAATGCCCATCACTAGTACATACAATAGATGTGAAAGGCAGCGGTGATTAACCCTCTTCCTAAACATTCTACAAACATATTTTTATCATAACTAATTTAATTATGATTGCCATGGCTTTAACAAAATTAAAAAACTCGTAAAAACAAACATAAAAACTTGTTTACCTCGAAGCTCCCGTTTTTTTTATTATTGAGAACGACAGAAGAAAAAAGATAATTAAAAACAAAACTTCCCAAGAAATAATTTCGTAACAGAATTTCATCGCGGAAAGTTCCCTTTTCAAAAGAAACATTAAAACTAGTCGCAGTTAAAACCCTTTAACAACGTTAAGGAAAACACGACGGGAACGAAACGTTTTTTTTGCCTTATTTATAGAAATGTCGTTGTCATTTCTTTAAAAACTTTTTATAAGTCTCCGGAATTAAAAATTTTTCTAATTGCTTTTTGCGGTTACTCGCAAAGTAATTTTTTAGGATGAAATTAGAGTAAACAGGAAAATAAATATAAATAAAATTAAAAGTTCTGTGTAGAATTGCTGTTAAAATAAATAAGAAGTCTTTTACTTAATATACACAGGTTTGGTTTGGCATCCATTTATTATAAATATTTCCCAAGTTCAAAGATTTAAAGTTTGAGACGGGACCATGATATTAGGACTTATTTAGGTACCTACTGCTGTTCGGTTCTTGGATTATAGATTCGGATTATGATTCGTCGCTAACAGTACATCTCAGTTGTGTCAATTTCTTTTATTTCTGACTGTCTCGTCGTCGCGGACTCTGAGCCATACATTAATATAGGGAGTATTAGGCAGTGAACAAGCCTTTTTTTAAGTGCTTTGATATCTTTTCGCACTGCGACTCTTGTCATTTCACATCTTCTTCTTATTTCCCCTTCTAACGATCCTGTGTTGTTTATAAGTGACCCAAGATATATATATTGACTGACAACCTCAAAACGACCAATGCTCACTACATCATGTTTGTTGCTGTTTTGCCTGTTGTTGTCGATAATCATAATTTTTGTTTTGGAGGGATTAATTTCAAGTCCAAGTTTTTCGCTTTCGTCTTCAACCCATTTTAGAAGCTGCAGTAATTCTTCTTCGTTTCCCGCTAGAAGCACCGTATCGTCTGCAAATCTGAGGTTGGGTTGGTTTTTTGACTATTATTTGTTGTCCCCCCTTGCCAATGTTCCAGTGCTTCTCATGATATATTCAGTAAATATATTGAATAAACCACAGGTGGGGGACTAAAAGTTTTCCGAAGTAACGCCATTGATGATAATTCTACTTTTGGTGTTTATATAGAGATTCTGGGTCATTGAAATCAAATGAAGAGGCAGACCCATTTCTTTAAGAACCATCCATAGTTTTGATCATTTGACTTTGTCAAAAGCTTTTTGATAGTCTATAAAGGAAATATATAGCGGATTGTTAAGTTCTCGGGCCTTTTCCATAATCTGACGGGCATTCAGAATTTGTTCACGTGTTCCTCGACCTCTTGTGAATTCTGCTTGCTCTGGAGGGATTTGTGGTTGAATATACGGTCCTCATCAATATTAACACTATTTTTATATCTACTGTTTTTAATAACTGTTTGTATTGGAACTCTTTTCTTACATTTATAGTCTTCAATAACTGGTCTGGCTTATGTGGAAAATTTACAGAAAACAAATAATTTAGTCTGTAAACTTTTTCCTCCATAATACCACTAAACTATTTTTGTTTCTTAGTTCACTAGTTGTGTTATTCATATTAAGAAATTATATTTACCACGTATAAAGTTAATATGAATGTAAAAAGTGAATGACTTCTTTTATAATAAGTCAATTTGACATTAAAAAATTGAATTTGAAGGTGGCATGTTTGTTATTCTAATCAGAACCGTAATATTTTTTTGATTAACTTATATTTTTGTATCTCTCATAACTCAAGAACGAATTCATTCAAAACGAACAATTTCCTTCATTTTTACGAGTTCGTTAAAATATTTGAAATACATTTTTTCCTAAAGAAAAATGGGGAAACTTATTCATCATTTTTAAAATTTACACGGGATTTCTTATGTCCAGGTCTGCAATGGCAACGGACTGTATATTTTACTTATTTCGCTAATTCCCTTTATTAAGATAGAAAAAAAAAACATCTCTAAAAATTTACCTGTCATAATTTTAACCCTGCGATTTTCCAGAGAAATATAAAGAGAACAAAATCTGTGAGAGTATATGTAGTCATAAAGGTGCATAAAATAAAGCCGCGGTAATTCTGGCAACGTTGTTCGCGTCCAACAAAAACAGAGCGTTTAATTAGTTTTAATTCGCTCTCGGCACTCGTTGCTTTCTTTTGTTTAATCTGCGGGCCCAGAGCAGATGGTTAAGCCGCCTTTTTTATTCTCTCTCCTTTTTTTTATTTCCGTTCTGCTTTAATTACATGTTAGAGATAAAAGAAGATAGTGCGACAGCGGTGCGTTCCAGCAGAATACATAATCTACCATATTATGTGCTATTTTTTTTTGTTTCTCTGTGGAATTTCTCTGTTCGTGTTGTACAGGGTGGAGCGTTCCTAAAAAAGTTAGACATCAAAGTTGTTGTTTTTTCTAATAGAACACTCTATATATTAATTTATTTTCGGATTCTAGGAAAAAATAAAGGTGAGTTGTATTTAAAAGGCATACGCCTAAAATTTAAGGAGTTTGACATAATCCTCATTTTGTGAAAATGAAGAGTAAATTTTAAATTTCGATAATAGCCTGATATTTAATTACAGTAACCATTGTATGTTAAACCAAATTGAAATTTGACCTGAAAAGTTATACAGGGTGAGACAAAATTAATATGGAACATTAATCATTTTTAAAAGCAAGTTACTCCTTTATTTTAAATAGAACACCCAGTATATTTTTTCGGTGTTTAATGGGGAATTTATATATCTTCAATATATTATAAGGTTGCCTACCCCTCAGACAAAGATTTTCCTAGATATTTTAATTTTTATGATTTTGCGTCAGTAGATTTTATTATTTGAAAAATATAGGCGGATGTGTGATACACCTTTTGTTGATTTAACAAAAATTAAAGATTGTAGAGTAAAATACTCAACAGTAATGAAAAGATACACGTTTAAAACATATTTTAATTATTACAGAATTGAAACTAGAATATAAACCTATTTATGTGACAAAAATTAGCTTCTTCTTCTTCTCTTCTTCTCAGCCATTACTCATCCACTGCAGAATGTAGGCCGCTCTCAGTTTCTTCCACTCGTTTCGATTCTGTGCTCTCCTCATCCAGTTCTTACCGGCTACGGTTTGGATATCATCAGTCCATCTTTTAGGAGGTCGGCCGACTGGGCGTTTTTCTAGGCATGGCCTCCAGCAAAGAAGTCTTTTTGCCCATCTTTCCTTGGACTGTCTGGCCATGTGTCCTGCCCAAGACCATTTAGAGTTAGCTATCCTCTCTACGATGTCCGTTATCCTCGTCTGTCGGCCAATGTCTGCATTTCTAATGTGGTCGCGAAGACTGATACCCATTATGGCTCTTTCCATAGCTCTTTGGCTCACTCGCAACCTGTTCAATATGGAAATGGGGGAAATAGTATCTCCCTATCTGACTCCTCTTTCCATTTTAATTTTATTTGTAATATTTATCTTTTTTTAGGCTATTTGGGATTTGCTTTTGAATATAAAGTTAAGTTTACCATAAGCTGCCCATCCGAGTTTGATCCTTCTAGAAATTTCGGTTGTTTGATTTTCCTTGCCGAGTTTTATGGCATGACCTAGATATACCTATATACTCTTTAACGTTCTCAATCCTTTGTCCATTAACATTAACTTGCTCTTCATTTTCATTTAGGATTTTAGTTTTAGACAAATTCATTTTTAAACCTACTTGCGCAGATGTGTGGTGAAGTTGTTCGAGCATTGTTTGAAGTTCTTCCAACGATGAGGCCAGGACAACGACATCATCAGCGAAGCGCAAGTGATTAAGCATCCCACTATCTACCTTAATACCCTTCTTGTCCCAGTTCAGCTTCTTAAATGCGTCCTCCAGGGCCAGTGTAAAAAGTTTGGGGGAAATAGTATCTCCCTATCGGACTCCTCTTTCCATTTTAATTTTATTTGTGATATTTATGTCATCCAGTTTGATAGTCATTGTAGCTGATTTGTAAATAGATGATATTATGCCCGAGTATATGTAGTCTATTCTGGCATTTTGCAGGGCATCGAGGATGGCGTGTAGCTCTATAGAGTCGAAAACCTTCTCATAATCCACAAAGGCGACATATATAGGGAAGTTGTAATCAGTGCTTTTCTCTATGAGAGTGCGGACTGCCTGAAGGTGATCCACAGTACTATATCCACTTCTAAACCCTGCCTGTTCCGGTGGTTGATAGAAGTCGAATTTGTTTGACAGGCGATTTGTCAGCACCTTTGTGAATATTTTGTAGAAGTGCGAGAGCAGGCTGATGGGACGATAATTGTCGAGTCTGGTGTTATCACTCTTTTTGTGAATAAGAGTGATTGTTGCGTTTTGCCATAGCTCTGGTATTCTTTGTTCCATAATGCATCTATTAAAAATTTCCGTCATCTTCTGCAGTAGAAGTTGTCCACCAGATCTGAACATTTCGGTTGTTACTCTGTCTTCTCCCGGTGTTCTGTTATTTTTCATTTGGGACAGGGCTTTCCTTATTTCTTCTACGTCTATTTCAGGAATTTCCTCGGAGTTAACATTAATAACTGGGGGTCTAGTGGGTTCGCTGATCGTTGTTATGATTGCCTTTTCAAAGAGGATCTTTTCATTTCAAAAGACATATGTGGGGTTCTACCTCGAAAACAGCTACAATAATTTCTCTCATGTTGTCGACAATAGTTGGTCTAGTTTTGTAAACACTGTCTTTAACATATCCCCATAAAAAAACAGACTAGATAAAATCAGGAGCATTAAGTATTATTGAAGGTTCTATTAGTTAATAATAATTGATATGGTTCTATTAGTTTGGTAACTAATATCAATTCTCTCTGATGTAGGATAAGTTTCCATTTTCGGCAAATTTCTCAGAATTAAAGAGAATTAAAGAATTAAAATATCACAGCCACCTAGATTTATCAAATAATAAAGATCTAGTCAGATCAAATCATTCATCGAGTCATTTCTGGCATCAAATCAAGTCATTTCCGGTAAAAGAGGAATTGACCAAAAAGAATTGAATCACGTCAATCAATCCTAATTTATGTCATATACTAACATACCAAATTGCATTTTTATATCTGAAAAAATAAAAAAAAAGTTATAGGGATGAGCCACTTTTATATTACGCACCCGGTATATTACTTATAAAAGACCAAGATAAATATTACTTTATACTCATTTCATCCCGTATACTAAACGAACTTTAGCTTTCAGCCCATTTTATAAATTTACATAATTTCTACCATAGTCACTTTTTGCGAACGTCAAAATTGAATACGAATATCCGTATTGATAGCTGTGAAATAGATCCGGAATTAGAATTTTAAATAGACAAAGTGTCATCCGAACTCGAATTAGTGGCTGGCGTCTGCTTCAAATATGTCGAAATATTATGCATTTCATCTGTATGATAACCATCAACTTGTCTCTCTCCAGCCACGGAAAAGTTTTGCCAGAGCTAAATTGGTCATAAAACTTTGTTTTGGAATTATTCAGTACGCATAGCCAGTAAATGTATGTACAATCCAACAGCATGGATTATAGTGTAGAAAAAAAATATTTATTACAGTAGGTTACAGAAACTTTATTAATTAAACTTAAAAAAAATAATTTTTTTAACATTGAATATTGAATTCATTTCAATTATTATAGATTAGTCAGTTTTTTTGATTTTTTGATTGGAAATCTTTTGAAATTAGGGTCTATTCCGTTGCATACCTTGGTTATGGTTTTATGTTCCGTTTCAATCGGTTTCCTGAAAGTTTTATTACAACGGAACATGGTTCCTGAAAAATATCGGTCATAACTGTCACCAAACTAACCAGCGCGAGAAGGCTGGTTTTTCTGGTTTTATTTGTCAATCAATGTCATTTATGTGGCATAAATATAACAAAAATTGCAATTTAATTTTAATTTCTTTTAATTTTAATTAATATTTTATATTTTTATTCAAAAGCAATGGAGGTAGGTAGTAAAAGTAAAGAAATTTCATTAACTAAACAGAGTGACTTTTTAGGACCATTTAAAATTATGCGGCCATTGTCGCCTAACATTAGGTACACTGAACGAAATAATAAGGAACGAGACCACAAACAATCATCAATGTTTTTTAAACTACAATAATATAGATATTGATTTTTCGTCACAATATGTATATAGGATGAATTTAGTATCCAAGCCTAAATATACCGAGAATAATGCTTCATATCAAGAAGTAGAAGTAAGTCCTACACAGTCATCTTGGACTAATGCTTCAATAAAGTTATTAATCGAAGCATATAAAATGCATAAAGAAAAATTCTTGTCGCCATTATATAACGAGAAAAGAGTGTGGGACATAATTAGTGAAGAATTACAAAAAAATGGAATTAGTTAACCCGGCTACAAATGCGATGAAAAATGGCGCAATTTAAAGAAGACCTATGACAAAGTATTAACAGAGAAAAATAAAACAGGAAATTCTCCTGTGTTCTGGATATTTTATGAAGAATTCCATGAGATCTCTATCATAGGGATCCAAAATTTCAGCCAGTTGCTACTGCGTCAAGCAGCGGAATATTCTAGACAAAAGAAATTAGGCACGCCACGACGAAAAAATGGCATTAAAAAGCGAAATGTTTGAATGGTTTAAGAACTGGCCAAAAGTGGGAAGCAGTGGCAACGAACAAAATAGTTCCATAGAGTAGTTTATTGTGTTGTGTTTTTAGGGAAATTTTAGATAATAAAACATTTTTTATTAAACATATTTTATTCAGAAATTGGAAAACAATGAGGTAGTAGAAAACTAGACCAAGCATAAAGATAATTCTTATTGCTGCTCATGGAAAAGTTTCTGAGAAATTAACTCTCTTTTATGTTGTCCTAGTTGTAATAAAATGTCTTTGTTCAAATTGAATGTTCATTATAGTACTTGTGTTCAAGATCTATTATATCGTTGTTTAATATACAAATATTATGAAGGACACAACAAGCTATTACATATTTTGGTATCAATTGCTCTTTTCTAACGTCAAAAAATTTTAAGCATCTAAATCTCCCCTTTAACAATCCAAAGGCCCTTTCAATAACACTCCTTGCTGATGAAAGTTTGAAGTTATTTTTTTTTTGAATATCCGTTAAATGGCCATTATCTCTATAGGGCACTTGCAGTTGCTGCAGGCAAGGGTAGGCTTTATCACCTATTAGGTGACTATTGTGTGGGAAAAACATTTCTGGCGCTTGTATAATTTTATGCCATAATTCACTGTTCTTCAAGACTCGTGAATCATGGCACGAGCCTACTTCCCCTGCATAAAAATCAAGAAACATCAGTTTGTGATCACAGACACCCTAAAAATATAAATTGTATAATTTATAAATGATATATTTTCAAATGTGTACTTACCTGTAGTATAATACTAAAATTATTATGCCTAGTTATATAGGACAATCCATGATTTTTAGGTTTTGGAATATTGATATGAATCCCATCAATTGCACCAATAGTATTTGGAAATCCCCTTTCTCGAAACCCTTCAATTACGTTATTCATTTCTTCTTCCATTGGCCACTTTATAAATTCATTACTCCTTGAGCATAATGCATTTGCAACTCGTCTTACACTCCTGAGAGCAGTAGCTGCTCCAATATTAAATCGACTACAAATGGATCTAAAAAAATAAACTTACTCAAGTGTTTATAATTAAGATATAATATATATAGGTTTCGTATAAAAATATAAACGATCAGTTACCTATGTGGCCACGGGCCCGCAAATCTTCATCACTTGAGCTGTCTGACGAGTTTAACAGTTCATTAATAAAGTATTTTTGAATATTAAACTCCATTGAAACGAAGACACAAGCATTAAAAGATAAATTCTATAATAAAGATATTGAAATTTAGAAAACGTCAACATTTGACGTATCCAGTATTTTACCAAAACCATTCCGTATCAAACCGATTTTTTTCAGGAACCGCTCTTTACTGTAGTTTACCGGTCTGGTTCGCCTGGTTTTGCAACGGAATACAGCCTTTTAGGGTGTATTCTGTTGCTTACCTTGGTTATGGTTTTATGTTCGGTTTCTATCGGTTTCCTGAAAGTTTCCTTATTACGGAACACGGTTCCTGAAAAATTCGGTTATAACTGTCACCAAACTAAACAGCGCGAGAAGGCTGGTTTTTCTGGTTTATTTGTCAATCAATGTCATTTATGTGATAGAAATCAAGCAAATATTGGAAGTTCGAGTGAAATTCTCATTTAATTTGGGCAGTAAAGGTAAATAAATTTCATTAACTAAATCGAATGACTTTTTAGGACCATTTAAACTTATTATGCAGCCATTGTTTCTTAAAGTTAGGAACATTTAAAGAAAACATGAACAACAAGACAAGTAATCGTGAATGTTTTGTAAGCTATAAAAATATAAATTTTGGTTAGATTTGTTTATTTATTATTGATCTGTTTTAATATTGGACCTGCAAATCTTCACTTGAGCTGTCTAACGAGCTTAACAGTTTATTAATAAAGTACTTTTCAATATTAAACAGAAGAAGCAAACGTAAAAGCAGAGAACAGGTACATTAAAAATGCATTAAAAATAAATTTTATAATAGAGGTATTGAAATTTAGAAAACGTCAACATTTGACGTTTAGTAATATGGACATTTCCAGTATTTTATCAAACCGTTCCGTATCAAATCGATGTTTTTCAGGAACCGCTCTTTACCGTAGTTTACCGGTCTGGTTCGCCTGGTTTTGCAACGGAATACAACCTAAAGCGGCCCATACATTATGAAACAAATTGCGCAACACAGGCTGT